GATATTTAGTTTTTATTTTTCCTTTCATTATGCGCACACTTGAAATTGTTTTCCAAAGAAAGAGGCAATTATCCAATTTGTTATAGGATAATCTGCAAAGACCATTTATCTTTTATACATAGATGTTGCAAGTATTCTTGTCCCTTAAATTTTAAAATTGGTGGTTGTAAGAATTTCATTCAACTGACACACAGTTTTAAAAATTAAATAAATTTTTGGACTTCATGACTCAACCCAAGCCATCCAATTTAACATCTAATAAGTGGGAATAGTTGTAACCTCCATTATCAAAAGATAAATGGTCTCTTTGTAGACAATCTCATTTGTTATTGAGGTCATTCCAGCATGCTTTCAATCCAAAGATTCTCATTTTTATTGGCTACTACACAATTGGTAAACACAGTTTTGCTTTTCGCTTCATGTTTAATGTGCCACTGAAATAATTCAAAAAATTGTAAAATTTGACATTACGCTTCATGTTTAATGTGCCACTGAAATAATTCAGAAAATTGTAAAATTTGACATTAATATATGTTTAACCATGAGGCTCCTAACTGCATATGTTGATTCTCATTTACCACAATGCTGATAGTTATCTTTTGCCAATTGAAAATACTGCGTGCATATATAACACACGAAAGTGTGAGATTGCATTTAATTTTGGCAAATAGTATATCCAAGCTTGGACCTTTTGCTGACTAGCAATGCAAGGCCCAATTTTGTACTGCCTTACCTTTCATCTAGTGTTCCCTCGCCAAGGGTTGTATAAGATGTGTTTATGTGAAACCTCTTTTGATTATTTAATAAAACAGGTAGGGGGCGAAGGTTACCATACTAAAAAATTTCTATGACAATCAAAGTAAAACATACCTTTAAATAGTGTCGAGAAATGTGGTTTCAATACGAGAAATCTTTGTGATAGCTTTAACATATATTTTCATCTCTAATTTAAACTTCAAAAATAGTGTAGATCAAGTAGATCTATGGAAACTTGAAAGTCTTGAAAATTGACGGTTCAAAAATACAATACAAGTTGCACTATTTTCAAAACTTGAAATCCATTTTTTTCCTCATGTCTATGCATCTTGAGGTCGTGATAATCAATTTGAAGGTTTTTGAGCATCTAACCAACATCTTCTAGACAACGTTTTCACGTGCACCTTAATTTGATTGTTTAGAGCATTGTACTTCCATAAACTTTTTCCTTAACAAAATGATGCTTTGTTGTTATATTTGTTCACACAATATATATTGGAAATATTTGGTAATTGATGATATTGATTAATTATTTTCGATTAATCTCAATCTTATATATTAAAATTTTTAATAAATGAGAGGATATCTTGTCTAGTTATATATTTCTGATATTATTATTACTGGCATTTTGTATTTGTAATCTTGTTACTTCATAAAGGGGTCATCATTTGTTGTGACGGTAAAAGGCACAGGTAGCCGCAAGAGCGGGTTCAAGTCCTAAGAGCAGCCACTTTATGTATAAAATAATAAAAGTTAGGACTGTTTTCAGCTCACCCCTTCCAAGACTCTACGTAAGCGGGTGCAGCACCGGATTATGGCGCTCTGATTGTTACTTCATAAATAAGAGATTTTGAAACATGGCAAAGAAAGAGAGAAGTATGAAATAAGATACAACCTTCATGTGTTCCGATAAAAATATTTATTTCCATCAATTTAATTCTGATTTCCTATCCTTATCAATTATTGGTTTTCTTTTTAAACCTTGTGAAAATGCTTGAAGCTAGTCGAATTACATGCATTGTACGTAAAATTGATCGGTAGAACAGTGATCAAATATTCAATAACCAAAGCGATCTATTATGCAATAGTTAGATGTTAGAGACCTATGAGGCAACAATTTAATGTTAGATCGTAAAAAGTACAAAAATTATTTTCTTCAATTATTATATGTTACAAACTTTTTAAAACAAGCCATAGAAGTTTTTTTATTTTCGTGTTAAAAGATCATTTAATAGGAATACTGATTTGTGTTTTGCTTATCAAAAAGAAAGAGGTGGCTTATATGTGTTGCATGAAAACTTCACAAATTTAAAATTATATAATAAAAAGAGAAAGGTTTCTATACTTCCCCTACAGCATAGAAGATCTATGCTTCCCCTACCATCCAGCCGTCCAATTTTGATCAAAAGAGCTACTCACCGTTTGAGCTTAGATCCGATGTCTCAAAGTATTTTATTTTAAATTTTTTTATAAAAATTTTATGAATATGAAATTTGGTATGTCCCATCCTCTCATTGGATCTCAACTATAAAAAATATTAAAAATAAATTTTCGATAAAATATAATAATCAAAATACCCCTTAAAATTGGGGCAATCTTAGCCCTCCATTCAAAATAAAAAATAAAATAGTGTAGAGATGTGACATTGTAATTGGGGCAATTTTAGCCCTCCAGACAGTTGGACAAAGAGGAATTATATAAATTTTATGTTGTAGGGAAAGCATAGAAAGCTTGCCCTAATAAAAACAATTGAAAAGCTACTCTTATGGGGCACAAACTTTCTTCAAGAATATACTATTTTATACTGTAAAAATCCTTAAGAAATATGTTAATGTGCAATGGAAATCTAAATAATTTAAAATCATAAATTTAAAATAGGGTGTGGTTTGCATAAAGTTGAGGCTCTAAACAATCAATGTAAAGCTCACCATCAAACAATGTCAAGAAATGTGGTTTCAATATTGGAAATCTTTGTGATAACCTTAAAATATATTTTTATCTTTAATTATAAAATTTAAAGATTCAAAAATAGTGTAGATTGAGCAGATCTGTGAAGACTTGAAAATACTAAAAATTGTCGATCCAAAAATGTGCTACAAGATGCATTATTTTCAAAACTTGAAATCCATTTTTTACTCATGTACATGCTTTTTGATATGGAGATGATCAATTTGAGAATATTTGGGCAACAAAACAATCTCATCTAATAAAATTTTTGAGGCAGGCTCTAATTTGATTGTTTAGAGCCTCTGCTCTATATAAACCTTCTCTTTTAAAATATGAAAGATTTTAAAAATTATTTTTTATTTTAAACTTATGATTAGGCAAAAATGTTTAAAAATATGGGAAAGTAAAAGTAGAATGGAAATAAAAAATTAATAAAAAACTTAGCCATAAACTATTTCTTTAAGCCACGCCACATTATCTAGTGCAATTGCTAGTGGGCGAACATGCTTCCTCTCTCTTGTAGCTATAGTTCAAAATCTTCTTACGACAAGGAGGCAGAACTCCCCTCAGCCCAGAAAGGAGCATCTACATCCCTCTTGAAGTGAGGGTTCGGTCAGTCGAGGGAACAACCATAACGTTCCTCTCCAAAATAGAACAACTATCCGGAGCCCTTCTAAGTGACCTATAGAACAACACCCGACCCACTACTTCAGCGCTTACTCGGCTCGTAGAAAACTCCTTGCCATTGTTGAAAGCGAAGTTAACAAAAGAAACTTGTTCTAGGGAAGGGCACAAGCGGTGAGTGGCTTTAGAAAAAAAGTCCCTTTTGTTCCTGTAGCAGGCACTTGGCACTTGTGATAGTAAGTTTTGGTTAGCGGGTGCAGGTCAGGCGCCATAGAAAAAACGACTGCTGTAGCGTAAGTGAAGCAATTGATTAAGTATGTTAAGCCTAAAATTACGCACTTAAAATTTTTAATTTTCAAAAAATTGAAAGAAAATAAAATTAGTGTCCAGATTTTTTCCTATTTCCTATAATAAATAAAGAAGTGAAATTTATTTCAGAGATTAAAAAATTTAAATTCACAATTTAAGAATTTAAATATTACAATCTAGTTTAGTATTTGTTAGTTTTCATAAAGTAACCAAAAAGAAATAACGAAATTTAAAAAATGTTCAAAGCACTTAGTTTAGTATTTGTTAGTTTTCATAAAGTAACCAAAAAGAAATAACAAAATTTAAAAAATGTTCAAAGCACTCATAAAATTTTCATGAAAATTTTGAAATTCATAATTAAATGAAAAAACATACAAAAAAAAAGAAAAAGTTACCAAATCACGCTTGTTGTTGATGAAACATTAGTATTGATACAGTTTATTCAAAATTATATTAGTTTATATGATTTTTATGAGTTGTCATATCATATACTCAAAAGAAAATATTTTCACAATAAGATTGTGAACCAAAAAAATGTATAGAATAGTTGATTGTGAAATTCAAATAAAATATCTATATGCCTTCACATGGTAAGTTTTTTCATTCTACTATAGACATGAAGTAGTAGCATTTCAACTTTTAATGAAAAATATAACAACTTCTGTGAGAAGATGAATATGATTTATCCTAGGAAATGTCTGCCTCATTCATGTGCGTCAAGCCCTAATCCTCTGCCTCATCTCCAAGGGGACAACATGCAACAGACAGCATTCAACTTTGCTTAGAGAAAGGTCAAAAGGCATCCTATCTTCAACAAGCAGATGTGAGCATAGTCAATGATAGACTCCCCACCCTCTGATTTCACACTTAAAGCCTTGAGCTCTGATTGAATACTTTCACCTCCTCTACAGCACAGTACTTAGTTTAGCCATCTTCTGTATTTATAAACTCAAAGAAAGTCTGTTCCATATCATAAAGTAAGCTACAGTTTACATTTGAATCAGTCATTCCATTCCTATTGCTTCTTATGTAATCTAAGATGATTTCTGTGACTGTATTGAATTCATAAGGAACTGCACCATTTGACTGTATTGAATTCATAAGGAACTGCACCATTTTTGTGTCCCCTATACACAACTAGGGGCAATCAAATATAAAGTACTGTAAGACACCCTAGGTGTGGTATATGAAAGTTAAAAACAATAATTTATGTAGCCATTTCTTTAGGCAGAGAATTTATTTAGGCACCTTGGAGTTCTATACCATTTCTTTAGGCAGAGAATTTATGTAGCCAAAAACAAAAAGAACAGAAGAAGTTAAACCAAGTCATGTCCAAATCAAACACAAACAATTCATGCATCCCTTTATGTCCTCCAAATTCCCCCGTCTCCAAGTGAATTTGTTCTGTAAAACAGAGGCAGCTTCTCACTATGATAGGACAACACAGCTTCCTTCTCACTATCATCTATATGCAACAAGACCTGAGTTATATCTGGTTCATATCCCATACACTTCAATCTTTGGTGCATCTCATCCAACTTCAAGTAAATTTCCTCAGTTCGAGGATGAGATCCATCTCTGACAATGAACTCATGTATCACACCAACATGATTGATCAGACTACGACCTGGGTCCTTTCTCACCCCTCTCCATCTCATGCTTTTTCTCACCTTCGCCATATCATCCCATCGACCAGCGGCGGCTGCATATATATTAGAGAGAAATACATACCAACCAGTTGCATTTGGATCTAACTCCATCACACGCTTAGCTGCATACTCACCAATCTCAATGTTTCCATGTTTTCTGCACCCACCAAGTAGAATCACCCAAATTACCTCATTTGATCGCAGAGAAATCCTCTCTATGACACCCTTTGCCTCTTCTAAATGACCAGATCGACTTAACATGTCAACAATGCAACCATAATGTTGAATGGTCGGTATGATGCCATATTCATGGGTTATGAGCTCGAAATACAAGCGACCCTCATGGACCATACCGGCATGGCTACATGCATTCAACACACCAGGAATGTAAGAGCATGAGGTCTCACATACTTTGCATTTCTTTGAATAATTCGAGAGCATGATTGGCTAGACCATGCATTGCTCGCCCGATGATAATTGCTGTCCAATGGCCGACCCTCCTTTCAGGTAACGTCTGTAAAACCTCGAGGGCAATCTCAATGCTCCCACACTTTGAGTACATGTCTATGAGTGAAGTAGCAAGAACCCCACTGATTTGAAAACCTAACCTACCCATATATGTTTTTGATAGTGTCACTGGGCCCTCCAATTTTAGAGTTTTAGAGTTTTAGAGTGTTACAATTTACATTGCTGGCAATCATGAAGCCTACTCTCATTATTTTCCTCTAAGGATGAAATGGTTGCTCTTCTCTCAGTGCCACAAATGCATAGGATGAAAGAGCCTAATGTTTCATGAAGTGTATTCCCCAGGGTATTATTTGTTAACTTGAAGTGATTTTATGCTTTTCTTTATATAATATTGTCTTGATTGTTCTTGAGCTCTAAAATTATAAAACCAATTTGCTAAACCTGTTGAAATTATTTTGCTTCTAATAATACTGATTATTGATGCAGGGAAAGGAAAATTATCCCTCAAGGTTGAACGTTTTCTGAATAAGAAGGCTTATGTAGGTGCTGCTAAGCTTCGTTTGCTTGAGTGTTTGTGACTTCCAGAGGAACATATGCAATGGTTTACATCAAATGAGCATGAAAGCCACAATCAGGTGGTGCCAATGTGGACCGTTGTGAGTTTTAAGAGGATGAATTATCTGTCCAACCAATATTTGGTGAGATATCCAAATGATGTTGGTTCCTAGCTTTGAATTTCAGTTCTGAAAAGTTTTTTTCAAAGTTTCGTATTATTCATATCAACCGTTAGAAGGATCCTTCCCCTTCTGGATAGTTCAGTTCTTCAGCTCCCAAGGATGGTAAACTCCCTGATAGTTAATGGTACTACTCGAGTTCATTCTCCCAATTCATTGCTTTGACAATTCTAGCTTCAAAACGTCAAACCATTAAAGTGCCACCTGCTTTCATATGTGATACTAGTTTTATAACAATTACAAAACTGCCATTGGTTTTTGTTCTGTTAAAAGTATCAGAAAGTATTTGAAAATGCCATATTTGTTATGTCTAGGAGGGGGCAGTTGCTGGTGATTTTGCCTTCTGAAGTAATCTAAAACTCTTAGTGGTTTGACATGGAGATGGAGGCCTTGGAGAGTGGGTCTTCTTGGAGTTAAACCTGAGAGGAGGAAGGGAGGATTTTCATTTTCAAATACATGGAATGTGACTACTGAAGATATAGCCATGTTGACAAGACACTTGACTCATGCAGTGTTTAATACTTGGAATGAGGCTTTTCTAACTGGCAAGAAGAATGATGGGAGATTTTCCTGGATCAAATGCTGGGTTGCGTTCAAATTCATCTGCATAGCCATGGTTTAGGCTAGTTTGTGTCTATAACTGTTTTTCGGGTTAAGTTGGCTGGTCAAGTCTAATTTTCACATTAACAGGAGAAAGAAATGGTAGAAAATAAGAGATAATAGACTTGTAAACATGTTATGTGCAATTATTTCAAATTACTTGTATCCTGATTTGAGCAGTGGACTTCTTGATTTATAGGAAAACAGAATTGCCATATAAATGTATATCATTTGCTAACAAATTTTTCTTTATAAAAGGTTCCTCAAATATTCTTTGGGAGATTATGTTAAATCTATACTGTGTGACTCAATTCTGGTTTGTTCAGGGACGTGACAGTTTCCTAGTTGCATTTACTCCTACCAGATGGATATTTGGAAAAGGGAAAGGAAGAAGTCCAATGGGAAATTATACAGGATAAAACCTTGAAAAGCATGTCTCAGTTATACTTCTCACCAATAGTACATTCTAGTCAAGCCAGTGAGCCAATAAATATTGAGTTTATTGTTACCCACGCAAGCAAGCATAACACTTGAAACCATGAACACTGCATTCCTGTTGGAGGACTATGTTTGTAATCGATGATGATTCATTGTAAATAGTTTTGGGAAAAAGCAACTAATTCCAATGGTACCAGTCGTGGATAGTCAGCAATGTTACATGAACGCAAATATGAGGGACATATTTAAATATGGAAAAGTCTTTCCAATGCTATAGGCAAAAATGAATAGTGATTTCGTCTACTCTCATCACCGTCCAAATTTTATCGCTCGGTCGCGATTGTCTGGTAGTATTTTATTTTTCATTTTTTTTCTACAGATCGGAATGACCTGAAATTTGGAAGGTATGTAAATCTTATCAAAGCGCATCTAATAAAAATATAAAAACAATTATCCGTAAAAAGTAAATTGATCAAAATACCCCCGAAACTTTTTGGGGGTATTTTAGTCAACTGTTTTCATGTAAAATATTGTTTTTTTAATTTTTGAAGATTCCCTTATTTTTGATGAATATACAATTCAACTTTCAAGTCATTTCGATTTGTAGAAAAAAAATGAAACACTACCGGACAATCGTAACTGCACGATGAACTTTGAACGGTAATTAGGGTAGGCGAAATCACTGTTCATTTGTTCATTTTCACCTATAGGCGTTGTGTAGTATTTTCCTTTAATATATGTTTAAAGTGTTCACTACTTTGGTTATATTAGCAACTGTGAACCTTCAAGAAAAACAGAAAAAAACAAAGAGTGTTCATAACTTTGGCTTTAAAAGCTAATATGGCAGGAGACATGTCCATGCAAACATCAATTCGGATACAATTATAAGGCTTATTCAAAACATACCATATATGTTTTGTTTTTTTTTTTTTTCCCAAAGGGTAGAGCAAGAGATTGTGGGGCTCACATTGAGGGGGTCCCAAGATCTAGTTCATCTATGACCTCTTCATATACTTTATTCACCTTCCCTTTGGCATGGTGCTTGATATTCTAACTCAAAATTATCAAGACCTTATCAAATCAATATTCACTACTAGATAAGAGCACTAAAGCCTGGTCAATTTTTATTGGCACGAAACAGTCATAAAACAGCGAGAGAGAGATCATTCACACATACAAATGGGTTATAAGCAAGAAGCTAGAGTTAAGAGCCATCAATTAAAATTGTAATGAAAAATAAATTACAGCCAAAGTTTCTCCATAAATTCAACTTAAATGGAACATAAGAAAACAACCAACTCAAAATTTCGCAGTCACCCGCCAAGCCCAACTCAAACAATCACATTAGATGAGTCTAACCAAGACAAACAACCATATTACATGAGTCTAACTATGAGAACCACCAAACCATGTTGAAAACCATAGTACATGAGTGTCTAACCATAAGAAAACCACCAAACCATATTGAAAACTATGGTGAGTCTTGTTAGGGAAGATGTCTTCATCTTTTTGCACTTGGACATGATTGAGCAAAGCTCGTCTTCTTTTTACCACCTTCCTTTTTGCCTTCTTATCAAAAAGTGGGTTTGGAGGACAGGTAATGACCATGATATAATCCCTCCACACTTGATAACAAACCATTCAACCTCCCACTCTCAATTGAAACACAGCCATCCTATTCCACCACCTCACCATCATCATCACAATTTATTTGTTGTGGTGCTAGTATGATCTCTACCTCCTCTTTCACCATGTCGAAACTAATCAGCTGCATATCATACGGGGGGTTGAAGTTGTAGATGTAGTTGTAACATGTATGTTCAATGGTTTTGAGTTCTAGCGAGCCGTAGATTAGAGCTTTGAAAGACGCTATGTTGTCGAAGAGCACCCATTTTCCGATGGATGTGTCGAAGATACTGTAACTTCCAATAAATGAAAGCACTGCTAACACCTTGAATTTACAATTTTGGGGGTAAAAATGGAATCCAAAAATGACTAGCCCATGAATATGGGGAAGGCAGGTGAATTGGCCTGTTGCAGGGTTGACAATGCACAAGGCACCCCTATTAATTAATATGCAAAGTACGCCAATGCATAAGGCACCCCTATTAATTAATATGCAAAGTACGCCATTGCTGCATTTTATTTTTCTTGGAATCCATGAAGAGGCATGTAGTTCACGGAGTTGCATGAAGTGTTTATGGTGTTTGAGGGAGACGGTGAGAATAAGAGGCTTTATATGTAAGAATGGGTGGAAGAGTGCAAAAGGTTGGAAGAAAGAATGAGAAGTGAGAGTGGAGTTTTAGAAAGCAAGGAGAGGAAAGGAGGCTATACCAAGACTTGGAGGCCCTTTGAAAACTAAGGATGGAAGGTGCCGGCAACTTCACAAGGATTTCTTCTACTAGCTCATCAAGTAAATTGCGAGATAGAAAACCCATCTCTTCACCAAAAAAATGTACGTGTTAATTACAATGAACATAACATGCAAGAGAGAAAAAGGGTAAAAGAGAGAGACCTCGTTAAAGAAAACGGGCCTTCTTCTTTTGCAAGTTCTTCAAAGCCTGAGATAGAGAGAGAGGGGTAAGCAAATATCTGTGAATTTATAAGAGAGAGGATTTGAGGAGTTTGAGATGTTTCGGTTTTACATATTTAGAGAGAGAACTACGAGATATCGTAAAAGACATTATAGAGAGAGAACGGTTCTCATTTATCATTGCATTGATTGGTTAAGGAAGATACTACAAAACGTTTACAGGCACAACAGTGATTTTACCCACTTTCATCATCATTCAAAGTTCATCGCACGGTCACGATTATCTGATAGTATTTTATTTTTATTTTTTTTCTACAAATCAGAATGATCTGAAATTTGGAGCCTGTGTTCATAAAAAATAAAAAATCTATGAAAAATATCAAAAAAATATTCTACATAAAAATATTGACCAAAATACCCCCCAAAAGTTTTGGGAATATTTTGGTCAATTTATTTTTAGTGAATTATTATTTTTATATTTTTTTGTATATTCATCTATTTCGATGAACACAAGCTCCAAATTTCAGGTCATTCCGATTTGTAGAAAAAAAATAAAAAATAAAATACTACTTGACAAT